CTTGTCTCCTGACCTGTCTTTGTCCCTGTCTCCTGCACTTGACTGGCCCAATCCAGACCTGGTTGTCACTTTGCCTTGTCTCAGACTGCACCTGGCTCTGGTCACTCAGATCTGATGGCATGGAGTGCTTTGCCCATGCGTGGCTCCTGGTTTGCCTTTTCTTAGGAAGCCTTTGTCGCCCCCCAGCACCCTGAACTGGGTCTCTTTTCTTTCCATCCCCCCCTCCTCAATGCCTAACTCAGTTACATGCATGAATCCACATAAGATAGTTTCATGGACTTTGGCTGATCCTCTAATCCCATCAGTAGAACACTGAGAGGGTGGCTGAAAGGACCCACAGTCAACAAGCTCTGTGCTGGCTTACATACCCAGGGACTTCCACCTCTAGTCATAGCCAGACAGCAATATTTCACCTCAAGTTAGCTGTTCCATTAGTACCAAAGAAAGGGATAGGATTTGAATTTGGGCAATCTAAACTTTCTATGTGGTAGGAATCTCCGTATCTCAGTTTTTTCTGCTGATGGAAAGAATGTGTGATTCTTTCAAGATAATACTAGGTAATGATCTGTGCATGCAGATAATTTTGAAATATGTATAACTTGCTCATGCTTGCCTCATCAACTCTCAGATTCCCATGATCTTCCTTCACCAGTTAAAAAAGCATGGGCTGAAAAGGGAATTGCATTTGATTCCGTTTTTGTGGTGGTTAAAATCCAAACCTGCTGCTAGTCAGTCTTCTTGTGCAGAGTTAATCTATTGCAGCTGTAAGCAACAAAACAAAATGACACACCATTTTCATGAGTAATAACTGAAATCCTACAGATAGCTCACCTGTGGTTCAGCAGTGGTCAGGAAAAACCCATTTTCCCATTTTTTAAAAAAACAGCTTCACACATACTGTGATTTGCTCTACAACTGATGCTGTTCACAACTGTGAACTGGTGTGACTGTGTACATTTTTAAGACTGTGCAGACACCTCTGCAACTATTCATCAAAATAGTGTCATGACTAATAGGAAAAAATACACCTATTTGCCCTTACACTGACCTCCCTGCCTCAGCACGTGTGTGCCATTTGCAAGCTGAGTAGTTGAGATTCCCCAGAGCATCAGAGTTGGGACAGGAAGAAGCTGGCAGGCTGGATGTGACTGGGGAGTGGGAAGTCCTGTGTTAGATATGGAAGCTGTGTGGCTCTCATATTTCAGCACGTTAGAAGTTAACAGGAAGGCCTTCTAGACAGAAAGGGAGAGATGCTTTCACAGCTAGCCCTGTTCTCTGTTCCTTCTCATTTATGTTGGGGATATAATCAAGGTTACTGAGAAAATGATAAAATAATCCTAATGTGGCAGGATAAAAACTAGTGGTGAAACACAACCACAGGATCTCTTTTACCCACAAACCTGGAGACCTTCAACTATGTCTTGAAAGTGTGATCAGCTTTGTATGAAATTTGAATTGAGTTTTCAGGGTGTCTAGAAGTAGACACAGAGGTCCTGATTCAGAAAAGAGCATACATCTGCTTTGCTTCCTCCCTTAAGTGGTCTAAGTATGTTGTATAATAGAAGAACCTCTGCACAGGAGAAGATACAGGGCAAGTTCTGACTTCCTGTGGTTTACAGGTGAAGCATAAATTGTCGAGCAGTATCACTGAAAATCTCATTGCCTCTTCTCATGCTGAAGCCTCATTGCATCCCATAAAGTAGCCTCAGACCCAAGGCAGAACACCATTCAACAGGATACATGGCTAGGTTGCAGGGCTGAAGGGTCCTGAGTTTGAAGGAAGGTTCCCAGCTTTTTCCCTGCTCATGACAGCAGAGTTGGACTGGATGACCTGTAAAGGTACCTTCAATCCAAACCATTCTATTCTTCTAAACATGTGAAATAAAAATTATGGGGATGGATTGCCACCCACATCTGGAGATGTGATTTATTTGTCACTGAATGAGTATCTGCAGAGCCACCCCTGGCCTGTACTGTTTGCTATTTACAGGACAAAAGTCATTCTTTATTGGTACACTATAAGGTGGCAAAGCAACAGTAAGGGTGTTTGGCAGCACCCTTTGTAAAAGTTGCTTTCTAGTTTGAAGGAGGGAGTTAATACTTTTGAAAGATGTTCACAGTGAAGTTTAATCACCGAGGTAAAGAAAGAATATGTGACGTTTGTTAGAATAAATCAGGATGGCTCAAATTGTGGGACTCAGAGCAGATGAAGAAGGCATGAGGGAAAATGGGTCTGTAAGGAAAGGAGGTTCGGGAACACAGAGGAGCAAGAGAAGTCCAGACTGAAAGTGAGCACAGAAGTTAGCAGCATGTTAAAATCACATGCTTGAGAGAAATTAGGAAACATCAGAGTCCAGAGTTGGGAATTCTTTGTGGAATCTGATGACTCCTAATTTCTGCCTCAGATAATACTGTTTATATGCCTGCTGTTGATTGATGTTACAGGTACGTAGCATGCTAGGAAAACTGAGGAGCTCAGAAGAGGAGACAGAGAAAGAGGAAGGGCTGAGGAGAAGAGCAGCTGAGTCCTGGTGTCCTTGAATGGCTCTTGTTGGATCTGGAGGGAGAAGCTGACAGCCTGGCTCTTAATCTTGCTCCTGCGACAGCATTTGGCTGTTGGCCAGCTGGAGAGTGAATCACTGAGGCCAATACAGACTTTTTGCCTTCTTGCATAAGCATTTAAAGAGTTTTCTGTTCAATATGCACCAGATAAGGCCAGAGCCCCAGCCTGCCTGCTTGCTCTTTGTGTTTCTAACTATGAGTTGGGATCACATTTAAAAAGAATCACTTGTAAATTACATCCAAACTTAGTTTCTTTGTTACTCTTGTATTAAATTTGCTGTACTACTGTATTTTCCTCACTGCCAGGATAGGAAATTCACTCTGTAATGTGATACCCAGCTGTAGTACTTTTGCTTTCTATGTCACCTTGGTTTTTAAAGCTTTTTTGTCTACCAAACTTGGGCTCATAGGGAACCAGGAGACAACAAATGTTTCATGTCAGGTGGGGTTTCATAGTACCAAGATAAAAGATGCACTTCCACTGTAAAATAAAGGTACTTTAGAACCATGCAGACAAGAAGTTCTCTGAGGAAAGGAGATGTCTGGTTTGCACAGTGGCGGAAAGCGGCTTCTAGTTTTGGGTTCTCACTGCTTTTCAAATGTGGTGAAGGTGTGCTAGTGAGTGGCTAGGCTTTATGTGAGTCACTTACTTGGGTGCCAGAGGAGTGACTGCACTGCTGGTACCTGCTGCTAGCACAAAATGCAGCTCTCTTATCAAACTTTGAAGCTAGGAGATATTTTCATACAGGAAGGCTAAACAGGCTTACCTTGCAGAAAGCTGTTGGAGGGCAAGAAACACAAAAAAGGTCAAATAGGGAAGGGGAAAGACTGAGAAAAACACATCAGGAGAAATCTTAATTCCTCAGATTTTACAAGCCCTCATGGATTTAGTGGCAGGGAAGCTGGCGTCATGTTAAGAACTCATGACTTTGATCACTGGCCCACTCATATGCTAGCATTTCCTAGCTGATGGCAGGGCAGAATTGGCTCCTATGTAAGATTATGTTCTGTTGGCCTTTTAGGTGATGACAACTGCCTCCATTGATCATGATATGTGTATGTTAAAGGGAAAAAAAATATGTTTCTTGTTTGATTACTCTTTGTAAGCCAACAGCATCAAAGGAACAGGCTGCCCTCACTGCTCTCACAGCTGCTGCCTGTGTCTGTGCTGTATATATGCTAAATTAATTGGAAAAACAGGGACAAAAAGCATTTAGTTCAGGTCAGCCAGTTGGACTACAGCAAATGCACGACAGGCTTAATCATTGTCTTTTGCCAAAGAGCAGGTTGGCAAGGGCAGGCACTCCAACCTCTTCTGATGAAAATTGAACTTTTTCCAGTGCCTTTGGAGATGGGATTCTGTGAGAGAAAAGTCTCCAAGCAGAGCCCAGACGCTGTCGAATCAACAGGGTGGGATGATGGGGAGGGTTATGGTCAGTTATTTATCTTTTGTCAGCTGTGAACTCAGCTTTCAGCCTTGGTTCATCACACATAGCATGAGAGGGCACCAAGCTTCCCCTTCACAAAAATGACGTCGTTAATTAATGGAGTCTTGTTAAAAAACATTGGTCACTGGCGCCATACTAAAAACACATTCAGCAATCTTTCTTCCTCTGCTACCAAATTTTGTGCCTTTTTCATGAGAAGGGACAACAACAAAAAAATGCTCCAGAGGACACATCGGTCTTAATGGCTTACACAGTTTGGGACTCCTGAAGTTATTTCTGTATAAACACGCCAGCTTACACTTTCAGAAAGAGTAAGCTGGCAAATGAAGGGCATGGGTGCAGCATTCTCAAAGCTCCTTGTTCAATAGCCACATGATTTTGAAGATGTAAATGATTTTGAATCTCAGTATGTATTTCGTATTTCAGTAAGAATTATTATGTAATGCAGTGTACATGTTTTGCACTATTTGAAGTGATTTTCTCCTTAACTTCTTGGAGAAAGGATATTGAGGGGTGTAAAGATTAAACCAAATATAAAATACTGTTAAAATTGGTCAGAGAAATGTTTCTAATAATGGGGACAGAGAAGAATTAATTTCCCATCCTTTTTCTTTCCAGGCAGTTGACTTCAGTACATGTGCAACCTAGTTGTTATTCTTCAAGAAACAAGTGTGTTACCTTTATAGTGTTTTTCTTTATTGTATAGATAACCTGGCTGTTTTTTTTTTTTCTTCCTTTTGTTTCTTCCAGGCCTTCTGCCATATCTAGTAGCCCAACATACTCAGAGCTACCATTCCTTAGAATTTCTCCACACCGAAATCCTGCTGCAACATCAGAGTCTCCCTTCAGCACCCCTCACCCATACATTAACCCCTACATGGACTACATCAGGTCCCTGCACAGCAGCCCGTCCCTCTCCATGATCTCAGCAGCCCGTGGACTCAGCCCAACAGACGGTGGGTTAAGACAGGCTTCCTGTTTTCTGTCATTGTAGCAACTTAAGTTATATTAATCTTGTCAACATTTTTCCCCCTTGTTCAAAGCAGCTTCACCAGGTTTGTCAGACATATTCATTATGTCATAAATGTTTCAATACTTCATCAGCCGATGATGGCTCATTTGTACATCTCACAAATGTTGAAACTTCAGGGGGAAGGAAAGAAGAAGCTGCCTCATTCAAAATTTATGCTGGAAGGGTGGTGTATGTCTTGTGATATCTTTTGTTTGTGGGGCTGACATGAGGTGTAATTCTGATCTCCCAAAAATTCCATTTTATCTGCACTGAATTGAGTCAGATTGTTTATGAGTGCATGTCAGTGTATGACCATGGAGCTCTTCAGGCACAAAAGGCTTGTTAATTAAAATAGTATTTTTCAATCATATAAAGCATGCACTGACTGTTCACATTTAGTCAATAGTTCTGTTAAAGTTATGTAGAATTATTTCAGTTTATCCTAGCCAACAATATGGCCAAATGAAATGATGCTTATGTAGAAGTGGCTGATGATCAAGATTGTCCCTTTTAATCTAAATGATGGGCAGGATACTTGAAATTCAGTGCTTTAGGTCTTGGTGTGACCATGGCTTTTACTTTCCAGACTATTTGAGCTGAGGTGAGCTCCTGTGATTACTCTTGTCATTACTCTAGCACATTTCCTATTCATTTCAGTGGGAATTTTGCCAAAGGTAGCCATCAACAGTTGCAAAAAAAGGCTGTCTTGTTAGTAAGGTTTTTCAATAGTGGGTAAGCATAAGCAGTTTGACATTTCAAAATTGTAGCATTTGCTGAAGGGAACTAAAATATAACATACTCCAAATCAACTATGTAGAGAAAGGTAATGAAACTGGTACTTTAACTATGAGAAAGATCTTCCCAGTGAATTAAAAAACTTACCAGAGTTAAACTGCCTTTAGCTGAATTTGAAAAATGAGCAGTGCACCCTATCCAAACGGATAACTAATTAATCCTCGTTTATAAGAATATATACCTTTACAGTTAATCCATTAGTTATGGGCACATATTCTTATGAGAATAAATTTTAATGACCTATTGTCAGTCAAGGTATATGGCATGCCATAGGGCTTTCCTAGCAGTACTTTGGATGTTGCATGAATTCTTGCTAGTTCTACCCCTTTTGTTTTAGCAGAAGTATTTAAAAAAAAAAATACTTTGAATAAAAAATTTGAACGGGCAGAAAGGCAAATTTTGACTTTGGGAGCTTTGGAGCTTTAGATACAGGGCAAAAATGACAGAGCTGTAATGTAATGGCATATATTGGGAAAACACTCATGGTGTACATTTGAGATTTTTCACAGGGGTTAATATGCAGAATACCTTGCTCTCTTCAATACTCTTCAGGCCCCATTCTTGCAGGATTTCATTTATGCTTAAGGTATGTTGCAGTAGCACACAAAGGAAGGAAGGTGTGAAGGAAACCACCTATCACCACCTATGACTTTAAGCTGTATACAGTCTAGGTCTCAGGTGGACCGTACTGAATTCCCTTGCAAAGATGGAGGCACAGTGTTCTCTGACCCAGCACCCCACAGACACTCCAGAAAAATCCAGAGATGTCACAGGGTAGAATTTGGTTTCAGACTTTGGCACCTAAATGTAGGTGTGTATGTGTAATCTTGCTCTATTGTTCTGCCATTGTAGTTCAATGAGTTGTAAGTAGTGAAGTCTCAAGGAACTATTCAGTTCTCCAACAAATGGACACTTGACATGTTAGCAGTTGAGTCTGGAGCTCTGTTGTAATCATGATGGTGTTAATGTTCATCTATCTACAGTGCAGGTGTTTGATGTCAGTTCAAGTCTGTGAAATATCCTGCCTCTTTGATTGCAGACTGTATACACAGCCTTAATCTGTCATAAGTATATGCTAAACTTACTAGCTTAAGCATCTCTCTTCAGGTTTTAAACAAATACATGTTACTTCACACTCGCTCTAGACTCACAGCTCATCTTTGATCAGTTACCACAGCCCTGGTGTTGCACAGCATCCAATGAAAATACAGCAGCTTGATTGAGGTGTTGAAGATATCTCAATCAAACAGCATGCTGTTGAAAACTGCAAGTTTGTTCCCTGGAATCCATAGCCTGTTGTATGGTCAATCAGGTGTACAATGAAATGCCTTTTTCAGATGTGGGTTTCTAGGATCAGAGAATCTGATTCATGGCTTGAGCACTTTTAGAATGCAAATGTAACACTCCTGTGGTTTACAGGAGTATATGCACTTTATGTGCTAATTACATAATGGACACCATGGCTTAAGTGATACAGCATTTGAACTATGAAAACTGGGAAGTTGTTATTGCTCTTCTGAAAGCCATAGCAAGATTTCTCTTGCTGCCCAAATTGCTTTATAACAGTTAGATCTGTGTACAATATTGGGCTCAGTCTGTCGACTAACAGATCTGGGGATGGCCAGGAGCCAAAACAATCTGGAACATAACTCTTGTCACTTCTCCTTAGCCAGCAGATTTGGTGGGTCAGGGGTGGCTGAGGACTTCTCAGAGGATTTGAAGTAGGGGTAAGGATGGAGCTGTTGGTGTGTGTAGAGAAAGGTGCTCAAATGAAGCTCAGCTCTGCCTATGGTCCAGAAGCAAATACCTCCGCTTATAGAAAAACGAGAACAAAGCTGAAGCTAACTGGGAATAAACAGGAAAAAAATCAGGGCTGTGGGTCTTCCTGTTTACCCTTCATTTACCCTTCATGCAGTACATCATTTAGTAGGCTAATTTTTCATGTTTGAGGGAGGTAGTAAGGAATAATCTTCTAAGAGTACCAGAGCATTTCTTGGAGTATGGAACATTTAGTAATGCAATTATGTGTTCACTATGTTTTCTGCAGCAGTTAATTTTAAAGTTTGCAGCCAATGTTACTGTTAGTTAACCTAGACGCTTACGTCAGAAAGCTCAGGAAGTATTTTCAGTCTGTCTGCAAATACACCATGGTTGTCTACTATTGTAAAACTTTAAAACTTTCAGTGATTCAGTGTGAGTTACCCATCTTTTAAAATTTGGTCTGAAAAATTTCTTTACCATTTGACAGAAAGCGGAAAGATTGTATTTAATTGTGAAATCATTTTGTAATTTGGAAAAAATGGCAGCAACTTTTCATTTATCTCAGCTCATTTTTTATGCCTATTCCTGTTCAACATACTTCTATTTTTCACAACCCTTTCTTAGATGTTATATTCAACGTTTTAACATCAAAAGCACATTCTTTAATTTTATTTTGGAGTAATAAAGGCAGGTTATACACTTCAGCAATCTATTGCTGAATAAACTTTTCTCCAGATTCCAGTGCCTTACGTTCAAAAGGACATTAAAAGTGTAAATCTTGATTCTTTGTTTCTAAGGTTTGCATTTAGGATCTGATTTTCTAATGAAAATATAAATTATCTTTTTAGTAGCTCTGTATAGGTACCAATATTCAAATAATTTCAACCAAAAATTTTGTCTTCATTCAAGATTCAGCTGCTGAAATTAAAAAAAATTAAATTATCTAAAAGAATATAAAAATAATCTGGTGTACCAATTTGGGGTGCAGCCCATCAACCTAAGGAACCCTAAGTGTTTTAAGCAAGCTTGCATACCATCTTGTGGTGACCAGAGTGTAAACTGTTTTGCAGGTGAGACAGGGAGACACCAGAAAGAAGGGCTGTTCACCTCAGATTTCATGGCAGGTCAGGGTCAGGATCAAGGAGAAGGAGCCCAGCTTATTTTATGTGTACATCTTACACAAGTTCATTAAATAACCCTCTACTGTCAGTAGCATCTGAAGCCTGCTGAGAGGAGATGAACTTAAAGTAATATCAATTTTTGTATTTGTCCAGAATTTCCCATTAGTTGAAGGCCTGCTTGAAAATTGGAGGGGAACAGGAAGCTCTCATGTTACTTTTACATGAGAGAACAGCTAATACAAGTCATTATCAGAGGACTGCATCATGATAACTTCACTGATGGGATGTAGAGTCTATTCAGTCTGTGGTTTTGACTCTGAAAACAGGCTTGTGTCAAGTATATTTATACATGAGCTTTGAATGATGTGATTTACTTCAGTCTGTCGTCCTAAAAAACGGATCCTATATTGTTCATGGACAGCTAGTATTTGTCCTGGAATCATGCTTTGCCCCTGTTTTCTCCAAAGCATAGACATATGACAAGGTGAGGGAGAATCTTCTAGTCCCTAAGTAGAGACTCCAGAAACCCGAATGCTTATGGAAGTTCAGTTGCACTGTTACCTTACACATGGATTCCTTTGGGCCAGGGATGAGGTAAATGTGTATAAAATGCTAGGAAAGTTTTCCTGCTTTTTTATGTCACTAAATAAATCATACTTGTTTCCATTGCTGTCATCCTGTCACTTTTTGAGTCACTTAATAATAATGAGATCACTAAGCTCATTAATATTTTATGTCTTGCTGTTTCTTTGAATGGTATCTTTATAGTACCATTGGTTGAAATATATTGACCCGTGGTGGCATACTGCAGACGTTGCATTACATTTAAAAATAAACAAGCTGTTTTAATAGCCAGAGAAACCAGCAATGTGATAAAACTTTCCTTCTTGTTTATCTTACGTCATTAACGATAGTTTCATGTTGTTTTTTAGCTCCACACGCTGGCGTCAGTCCAGCGGAATATTATCATCAGATGGCTCTGTTGGCAGGCCAGCGCAGCCCGTATGCAGACATCATTCCTTCAGCTGCCACTGCAGGAGCCGGGGCTCTTCATATGGAATATCTTCATGCCATGGATAGTGAGTGATGTTTTCTAGAAATATAGATGGTCCTACAAAGGGAACCATGTGGATTGTTTGTGGTCTGACCCAAAAGGCCTCCATGCTCATAGAGAAGTGGGAGTCGACATAAGCCGCCTCATGAAGCTGGAGGGCCAAGGACTGATTGCCAAATGCACAAGGGTTATGTCAAGCCTAAAAGTAAACTTTGAAAGAAAGTAGGGAGAGGAGCAGGACTGCTCCTGAAAACAGGTTATAAATTTTATTTCTAGCAGGGCTTGAGTGCTTTTGAAAATGTCCTTTTCTATTTGCAATCAGTAACTCACTTTCATACTTAGGCTGAGTATTTCCCTGACGAGCTCTCTGTTAACAGAAAGTTTACATCTGTTTTTCTGTTAGGAGAGCATGCCCTGCACATTTCAGAGAGTGCTAGCTGCACTTAAAAGTTGTGTATCATAGACCAATAGACCAGTGACCACTTGTAAAGTGGAGCAGTTTGCTGAATTCTCAAGGAACCCAACTTAGTTTTCTATAATATTTCCATAATCTTAAGAGCCTTCTTTATCCACTAGGCATCGTTCAGTCCTCTAATCTGTCTCTTTCTCTGTTGAAGAAAGAAAAGAGAGGACCCCATTGCAAACTGCTTGCTACTGCTTCTTTTGATCAACCAGAAGGGATTATGCAGAGCATTCCCCTTGAGTCATAGATGCTTACATGCTTTTCAGGATTTACTCTGTTCCTTCTGATGAGGGCAATAAAAAATGGTGGCAAGAAAAGGTGGTGATGTTGACTTTTGCTTGGTAGCAGAGACTAATACAATAGCATTAGACAACACTTGTTTTCCTGTAGAATTTTAAACTTTGTTTACATGTGATTTCTTCCTGCTGTTGGCTGCACGCCACAGTTGGTGATCTCAAGGAGCATGAGTGTTGGGAGATTTACCTCTGGAACACATGGGAATATAGGAATACATATATATCTAGCCCTGGAGAACACATGCCTTGGAGTGTGAAGTACTTGACTCACCAATAATTTTTATAAGAATCAAGCAAGACAGATAGTTGTGATACTGTGCAGGAAAGCTTTTTTCATTTTGTTTCCTTGCTAATGAAGGATTCTTAAAATTCATTTTCTATTATGAGTCTCACTGCACTGGTAGCATGCATAAAGAATTTACAGTAACGTACCTTGAGCACACTGCAGAAACACAATAAACTCACACAAGTAGTCTGGACTTAAACCAGAAATTAATGTGCAGAGTTCTGTACCTGAAAGCTTAAGAATATGATACTTTCTGATTGGGATTTTGAGAGGAATAGGGAGAGATGAGGCACACTTCTAAAGGACTGAATGCCTGTTAATAATACCTTGCAGAATGGAAATGTTACATGTTACACATGATTCAGGTAATGTAAATTTGCTGCTGTGTTCCAGCTGCAAGGACAAATCCCCATCTTGTATGAATGGGCATGGTGTCCTTGAAAAGAATCATAGAATCCTAGAATAGTTTGGGTCGGAAGGGAACTTTAAAGGTCATCTAGTCCAACTTCACTTGCAATGAGCAGAGATATTTTAAATTTTCAAGGGTTTTGGTTCCTACTGTGAGAGAGTGTCTAAATGCACATAAATAGCAGTATCATACCACATTCTTGGATGCAGATTTGACCTAATGGGTTTATTCAGCCTTTAGAAAGATAGATACCCATATATATGCCAGAAAACTTGAGAAAAACAGAAGACATTCCAGTATTCCTACAAATAATGGCATTTGCAGAAGGTTCTACTTCTGTGTTTGTAGAGACTATGTATGCTGTAGTTTACATAGAATTGCATCTTTTGCATCCCAAGAATATTATCACTTCTTACTTAACAGGAAATGTTTTGACCTTTGCCCATAATTTCAGCCCATTCATGAAAGGTACCTAAACACCATCTTTAATAAGGATAGTCGTGTTCACCAGCTCCAGCTAGGATACATTTGAAATGCACACTTTAATTTGTTTTGTGTTTGTTTTTAAAAATTATGATCACACATTTGAGATTAATTATACCAGCAACTTTTCAATTAGGCATTTTTTCAGAGTTAGAGACAAAAACTGCACTATTATGCAAATGGGTTATTTTTAAACAGTAAATAGAGAATTAAAATAAGATTGAATCTTAGTAAGGTCACTCAGCTCACCTTCTGTATTTGATGAGAATGTGTTTAGTCAGGCAATAGCTGCTTTTATCTAAATAGAGTATGAAGTTACCCTTTTACTTTGTAAAAACTAATTAAAACTATCTTAACTTGCATGGGTATACAGTAAATTAATTGTCATTAAGAAGGAATCTGAATGTCCTATCATTCATCATGCTAAAGAAAACCCCTTTCTTCTTTGTCAGATTTTTAGATTAAAAATGAGAACAAAACAATTAGCAGGAAGCTGATATTAAGACTTTAAAAAAATCCCCAATAAGAATGCCCATGTATTTAATAACAAAGTACAGTGATCAATGCGGAGCAATGCCATTTGTTTGGATCTTTCTTCTTAAGGATTTGTGTGGTGATCTTAAAAGTAGTCTTTTGCCTTTGCCCAATCTTGTCAAAGGAAGCAGAAGACACATGAGTAGTTTCCCTCATTATCTGCTATCAAATTCTGAGCAAGTTGACTCAACTGTCTGAAAGGATGCTGCTCATTTATCCCACACAACAACCAAATAGATACAAGCAAGACATCGCTCTTCTTTTGTGAAGCAAGTCTGTCTCCTAATTGTGTGCTTATACAGCATTTAGCACAGAAATTTGGAAACTCTACCCCCTCCTGGACTGCAAATAATAATTCCAACACCAGCCTGCACTGAGTTCCAAAGGATATTACATACAGTATGTGCAGTTTGGGGTCTTCTGTTTTGTTCTGTGGTGCTGGAAAACTGATTTCAAGTGGGGATTATGAGTGGGAGAATTGTTAATCAGAGGTTAAATCTTACCCAAAGAGCAGTAGACTTCTTGAAGCTCTGAACTTGCCTGTCCATGAGCTGCCTAATATATCGCAGAAGAATAAAGCCAAGATTATACATGTTTAATTGTAATTCTTTATCCTGTAATAATTCTTCATCCTGTCCTGAGAGGCATGAAAACTGGACCAAAATTTTCTCTGCTGCTGTAAAGTTTTTCTACAGTTTTGGTGGCCAGAGACCCTGAGCAAGCCGTACCATCTTCTTGCTCATTCTAAAAAAGTCAGATTTGTTACTTTTAAGTATAGCATCCAAATAGGGGTGGAGTAGATGTGGAGGGTATTGACTGCACCACAGTAGCAACAACTGAAACTGCTTGTTGTGGCTGGAAAGATATTGAATGCCAAAACTGTCTTTAAGCACTATAACAATTTTTAAAATCACTGTCTTTTGGGTTGATAGGTGCGTTTTTCACTCGGGGGATATGTTCTACTTTCTTAAATGAAGTTCAGTGGAACACAAGCATGTTTCCCTGAGGTTTCAAAATTCCAAATTATTAATATCCACACTCTAATTAACTTTTGTCTATCCTCACTCAGAACAGGAGGGTTTTTTTTTTTTTTCCAAAGGTATTTAGTATTGACATACTTCTTTTGGCATTAGAGACTCTGATAGTAACCCAGCTGACCTAAAGAGTTTGGGCAGCTGTGGTGCATTGACCTTGGCTGGAGGCCAGATGCTCACCAAACTGCCCTATCACTTCCTCTTCTCAGCTGGATGTGGGAGAGAAAATAGATGGAAAACAACACATAGGTTGAGATAAGACAGTTTACGCAGGCAAAAGTGAAAGATTACATGTGCAGAAGCAAAGAGAAAACAAAAATTTTTATTCTCTACTTCCCAGCAATGTCCCTCCACTTCCCAGAAAGGAGGGCTCCAGCATGTGGAGGGGTTGCTCCAGAAGGCAAACGTTGTAAATAACAAATGCTCCCTCACCCCCTCCTTTTCTCAGCCTTTATGTCTGTGCTGACATCATATGGTGTGGAATATCCCTTTGGTCAGTTTGGGTCAGCTGGCCTGGTTGTGTCTCCTCCCAGCATCTTGCCCACTTTCGGCCTACTAATGGGGGGAAATGTTGGAAGACAGTGCTGTGCCAGCACTGCTCAGCAGCAGCCAAAACTCCTTTCCAGCTACCAGTGCAAAGCGCAGCACTGTGAGGGCTGCAGTGGGAAAAAAAAATGAATGTCATCTCAGCCAGACCCAAACACGAGCCCAAAGAGTTAAGCCAGACTGAGAAGCTTTGGACTGGGTTTGGTTTCTGTTTGTTAAGCACAGTTGGAGAATGAGGGTCAAATATCAAAGCCATTCTTCTTTTCTCATACTTTTCTCATGACAGATTTATCATTTTGAACACTAAGACAAAATTTATGATAAACTTTCATAAAGCGAAAACAAAGTTTTTACACATCTGTAAACAGAAGGCAGAAGGAAAAGAAAGAAAGAAAAAAGGTTTGACTTTAAACCCACCCCCCAAATGCCCCATGTTCACAGCCTTCAATAAAAACTAGTGCCTGAGACATGTTCAAAGAAGTTTGATTTAAAGGAAGGGAATAAAAAGGTTTGATGAAGTTTGATTTAAAGGGATGGAATAAATGATACATGTCTGAAGATTGCCTTATAAATGATTAAGCAATGCTAAAAACTTCAACTCAGAAATCAAATTCATGGGCAAATTTGCTGGATGGCATATTCCATTTTTGAAATTTATGATGGAGATAGATATCTGTTATTTTAGAATTGATCTCCACCTCACAATAAGATCTTTTCTTCTGACACCTGCTGGATTTTTTGTTGGCACACTCAAGTCTTTACTGTCTACTACTGACTTTTTATTTCTATAATGTCTACTCCAAAAGGGTGACATTTCTAAGCAAATCTTCACTGTCAGCTTCCATTTGCATGCTTTACCAAAGCTGATGTTTTTTTTATCAGCACTTCCACAGAGGTAAATGGATTTTTAGTGAATCAGTGTTCTTTCATTTTCTGATTTTAAAGCATTATTGAGTAGGGAATATAATACTTCGGTGCGAGAGCACTGTGAGCAGATGAACATCTCAAATTGCTAAATAAATATTGAAGTGTTTGTTTTTAAAATAAATGCTGGGCAAGGCTGTAAAGTTTACTTTAGTATTCAGAGGCATTGACAAATTGTGACCTATTCCTTTTCATAGCAGCATACTAACTGAAACTCATGGTATGCTAAATGAATGGTTAAGCAAATGTCCTGTAACAAGTGGCCAGCTCATGCTTAAGACTTTTTAGACATGTGAGACCTAATTAAACCATGAAGATATGGAAAAACAGTAATTCCATTCAATTGTATTTTCAGTTTTAAAACTCTTACCCCCGCCTTGAACTGAATCCCTGTCTCCTGTGGTCAGACTCCATAGATCTCTTGCCTGGCTGAAGCAGAAATGTTCCCTTTTTGCAGGATACTGCAAAATCTCCCTTAGGAGATTGTTCCCGTCCCAGGTAGATGGAGGGGACTGCTAAATTCCCAGAGCTAGATGGGCCTAAAACAGGTGCTGCCTGGAGGATCAGAGGAAGCCTGAGACTCCTGTATGCGTGGCTCAAGCCCTGGCGCTGCCCCTTACAGCTGTAAGGAGAGTCTTTCTCCATCCCTGGCCGCAGATCTGGTGCACCCAGAGCGGACACTGGGATGCTCTGGCAGTAGCTGGCAGGCAAGGCAAAGGTGTAACAAGCAGTGGGCAGACATGCAAGAGCCATAGCATGACAGGCAAGGGGTAAAGGAGACAGGTTTAGTCCAGAAAGGGCAAGGAGGATGAGGAGGAGGAGGGAAGTCTTTGCAATTTTTGAGAATGTCCAGGGCACTGCAGGGAGTATAATGCCTGTACTTAGCTATGCCCTTGTAAAACCATGATAAAGCGCTTGAATTGTATCCTCATCTGGGATAAATTACGTTACAAGCACTAACTTCAGACGCATTGTTTTAATTCATTCCAGTTGAGCAGTCAGCAGAGAAGAGTTGTGGATGAAAGATGCAAGTGCAAATTACAACTATTTTTGTTTTACCATGACATGGATGTTGTATTTCCTTGTTAGATATATTGCAGTTTCTTATAGCTGCTGATCTTTGTTGTTTCTTATATTAGCACAAGTAAAAGATCTCAGCCTTTGAAAGACATGAAGCACAGGACTAATAAAATACCAGACACAGTACAATAGCAAGCTCCTAAAAAGGAGATAAAACAGATTACATAAAATGGCATGTGGTAGGTTTTACAAATAAATAAATAGTTATACCTATATTTTAAATGATGAATCAAGAGTTTGAATATTCATAGAAAGATTGGAGCTGTATGGACTAAGGCTTATTCTGGAGACGGAGCAGGAAGGAAAAGAAAACCTCTGTATTACCCGGATGCCAAAGAGAAGGATTATAACTGGAGATCTGATCAAACAACAGCAATAAAATGGCAGCCCTTGATACTGTATTAAAATCTTGGATAGCATGCACAGAAAGAATGGAAACCCACTCAGATGTGTAAAGCATGCTAATAGATTGTAATCTAGCTCTGATCTTGAGATGAGTCTAATTAGAATCATTTGGGCTTTTCTCCTGGTTATTGTTAGACATGTAAACTTAAATACCCTGCAAAAATGATCCTGGACACAAAGATGTTAGGAAAGGCAGACCTATACTGGATGCTTCTGGCCAACTGTGAATTATTAGCAAGTTACAGAGAATGTCAGGGACTCTAGGAGAAGAAGCTGTAAAGTAGGCATCAAATCCAAGACCTGCGTGACCTTGGCTGTCAGGATCATTAGGATTCAGTCCTTTACTACAGGTTAAAGGGATTTAAAATGTAGAAGCAGCAGTACTGTTAAAGGAAATTGTTCAGTACGCAGTGGGGAAGCTAATTCTCTCCCTTGGTCTTTACCAAGATAGAAAATAATTAAATAAAGGGAATAAATTTAAGGTGATATATCTTCTGTCAGGACTGCAGAGAGTTGGGATGATGTGGTAAAATAGATGAGAAGAGGTAGAGAACAGGACATAAAATTTAGAAATGTAATATGTATTTATTTAAGTGGTATCTGTATGTTTGCCTTCACTTTGCTGATTTGAAAAGTCTAGTCTCCAGTTTTAAAGAAATTTGGCAGTTGTAGGCCCCTATACACCCCAACTAAGGAATATCATGGGATCTTGGACAAATTCAAATAAAGCCTACTGTTTGTCATTTTAATGCTCTGAATGTCAATCTGAGTTCTGGTGATAGAGCTGGCCCTTTAGTGTTTTAGTCCTGATTTTCAATTTTGCATCAAATATCCACCTGGCAGAATTACGGTCAACAAAAGAAAAGCTACCTCTTCATTTCTATACTGTATTTGACATGTGTAGGTTTGGCTATATATATTAAAGTGTTGTGGGTTTGGGCTTGCTGGTATCCCAGATCTGAACTACTGTCTCATTGCTCATGGTTGAATTAATGATGTGAATGTCTAAGAAGCCATCAGATTCATAAATCACCAGAAATGAGAGGGATAACTCATAAAAGTCTTTTCCTTTTGTTTAGCCATTTATCATTTTGCTTGCACATTAATAAACAGAGCTCCCCTGAGGTAAGCCATAGGAAGAAAGATTTTTCTTCCTAATTTTCCTCAATCGTAGCCAGTAGATCACAAATGAAGAAAGCGGGCTTGTCACAGTGTGCTGGTGTCTCCCTCTACCCATCACTGATAACAAATAAATCCAGTGAAGTATCCTGGTGGATAATTATTTGTGTTTACATAACAGGTGCCAGGTTTCCGAGTCCGAGGTTGTCAGCTAGACCAAGCCGAAAGCGCACATTGTCCATATCCCCCCTGTCTGATCATAGCTTTGACCTTCAGACCATGATAAGGACATCTCCAAATTCCTTGGTCACAATTCTCAATAATTCTCGTAGCAGTTCGTCAGCCAGTGGTTCTTATGGCCACTTATCTGCAAGTGCAATAAGGTAAGAATTATATTTTCTGCCTGAATTGTGTCACACACACACAGATGTGAATGTATACTCACATCTTTAAGTAACTTGTGGGGGTTTTTTTGTGAATATGTGCATTTTGCAGTTTCTATAATATATGTTCATTGGAACTTAATTTAAAGTATAAATCTTTTTTTCTTGTTCAGAAAAGTAACCATAAGGAACTTTTTGGCCTACTATTGTCCAGTGCAGGTAATATTTCATCTGACCAGCAGGAACAGTGTGTGTTTGTGTGTCCAGGAATCCATTTTCAAAGAAGAAACTGTAGGATAGGTTTGTGACTTAAGTCACTTGGATTCTTCTGCCCATAGATATGATGGCCAGTGAAATGTTCCTACATTACAATCATCAGAAAGTAAAGAAGAGGAATACGGTACTGTTCAATTCAAATGTTTGGCTTTAACTTTTGGGTATTCATCTCCATTTTTTTTTTCATGCGTTCAAAGATTTTACATTCTCTGGCTAATTTTTTTTTTTTTTTTTTTTTTTTTGTACCAAGGAAGTACTGTCATCAGAAATGCTGTGATTTTTACTTGACTGCTCTTGGCTGCTTCACTTGTGTGTGCAAGAAAACAGACAGAAATGGTTGTTCTGGAGGCAGAAGAGCAGAGTAGCAACTGAAGAGATGGACAGAAGTTGTACAGAAAAGGGAAAGAAATAGGGCATAAAGGAGAGGGAACTAAAAGAATACTGTAAAAAGAAAAAAGGGAGTGGAAGAAAATCAGGAGCTGCAGCAGGAAAAATGGAGATGCAACTGCAGAACATTTTTGTATTTGTGGCATGGCTATATGTTAACTGGGAAAAGCTCCTTTGGTATTCGAAAAAAAAATCCCCCACCTCTCCAAAGTGTCAGAAAATGTTGAGTTTGCATTTATAACCCTCAAAGAGTGCTTCTGGGCCCTGGCTTAACAGAAGTTTCCACCTCCAATTTGCAATGAGGCAAAGGAGCAAGTCCCTACAGCAGTTTCTTGAGATGGGCTGCCCATTTTAGGCAAGGCTCAAAAACACTACCAAGATCATGGATTTGATCCCCTGTATGGGCCATTCATTTAAAAAGTCAGATTTGATGAGTCTCGTGGGTAACATACAACTCATATTATTCTGTGAAATCTGTGCCTCTGTGGCAAAACTGACACATTTACAGCTTCGAAAACAGGCTATGGGGGTTTTCACCCCTGGAGAAGATGGGGAACACAACTAGTGTGTTAGAAACCATGAGCCTGACAAACTCTGAGAGTGACAGCACTGTAAATATTGGCATTAGTGTAAGTTCTGTGTTCTCCTTTTTTAGCACTTTTAAATAGTCATGCTTCATAGTTCTGATGTACTTGAGTAGCTGTGTAGTGTCATAATTCTGCAATGCAACTTTGCAGTCAATGGAATCATGGTTCCAATTATGAAGTTCCTTAATGAGGAATGTGATTTATGTCAGTGGCTGGCAGCAGTTGGACCACATCTGTCAAATACCTGTAACTGTGTGGAGGTGCACTATCTGCACTATCATTAAGATGGGATGGCACTTAATAACTAAACTCCTTTCCCATAGCTTGTAACTTTGGTAAAGCAAATAGTGCATGAAAGTTAGCATAGTCTCCACTGTAGAGTAAGTCTTCTCTCCTTTTACCCTTCCAAAGCAAAGATGGAGTCAGAGGAATAGTTTTGTTGAAGACAGTTGTGGAACTGGAGGAAGCTGTGGGCAAAGACTGAGTGAGGCTGCTAGGGATTCTTCAAAGTGAGTCTTGTGAGCTGGTGTCACTGAAGAGAACAGTGCTTGTGTGACTCAACCTGTGGTTGACCAAAGCTTTCAGCCTTTCCTGGTCATACTTCCCAGGAATGCATAATAAAAAATTTCATATAATTTTGAATTAAGATTTTTTTTTTCATTTTGATAAGAGTAAGATAAGATTCAGCATGCAAAGTTGGAAATGTACAGCTCCATTCTTCTCAGTTGAAAGGAAGGAAAGAGCGAGCTCTTCTTCCTGCTTTGTAACTCACCTCTGTTGGTGCCCTTTAACTTCTCCCATGTGAACCTGTCTATATAAACCAAAATAAACAAATATAAGGTATTAAACCCAAAACAGATTTAATTACCTTAATAAATTCCAAGATTTAATAAATGCGAACAGGACTGTCAGTGAAACCTAATTTATTATTCGCTGTCCTGCAAATAATGCACTCAGCACAAGTACTGTGGTATTGAATAAAACCATAGGTTCATCTCATTTAATATCCTGTCAGCAACCGTGATCAAAGTCTAGAAAAAAACATTTCCGGGTGTAAAATTTCAGCTTCTGGAAACTTGCAGGTTAACATCATCGGAGTTGCTGCAAAAAAATGGTACAATTCAGCAAACCACTAGATGGAATTGCAAGACAGGAAAGATTTCTACTTTCAATAGTATCAGTAGCATTAACTATACTTAACATTACACAATCTTTCTACTTCTTCATATTGTTTCCTATCTTTTTTAACTTATTCCAAATAGTTCACACTGGGCAGCATTTTTCATGGTAAATACCTATCTAATGCTGAATATTAAAAAAAAAATAAAAATCAACAAGGCTATTAATTTGTCCAAATGCAGTTAGGGAAGAAGAGATTTTTCTGTACAAACTAGAAAAACTATTGCTTACCTTTTTACCGGGAAGCTGAACTTTGCCAGCAGTGTTGCGTAGATGATGTAAATGTGATCTCTGCTGTTCTTGAGAAATTGTTCCATTCAGCCAAGTGATAAGCCCTTAAGAAGTTTCTATTAGCATGTGTTAAATAAACTAAGCACTCAGCATGTTCCAGTCTAGGGCCCACAGAGAAAAAGGAGGACCTTTCCCTGCAGCTGCAGCTCTGGTACCTCCTTGGGAAGCTTGTGGAGATTCAGCTGTCTGTCCAGCCATAACAGTTTTGTGAAACAGAAAGCAGTCTTTAGAGGAGACAGGAGTCAGCCCAGAAACTGTACAGGCTAAGCAAGTTGGCACGAAATGCCTTTTGATAACACAACATAGACTTGCAGCAGAGGAGAGAAAAGGCTGCAAAATAAAGCACGTGGAAGCTGGTCATTCGGAGAATGAAGGTACTGCCCCCTTGTGATTGTGCTCTGATACCATCTTTAACTTTAGTATTTGTAGGGACCCTGTCTTCTTCAATGCACAGCCTGAACATCCTGAACATACTGTGTGGATCAGTGAGAGCCACAGGACACTGCCTCACCTGTTCCAGGCAGCCTAAAAGAGGAGGGAGCCTCGTACCTGGCTGTTTGCTGCCTGGAGGGCAGACTGTGCTCTTGCAACGCAATCCTAGGCTGATGCTGGGCAAACTGAACTAGTCAGAAGTGACCACCAGGCTCAGTTTGTCTTCTCGAGTCCCAGCCTACCACTCTTAATTCTGCAGAGGAGTCAAATTGCCCCCAGCCATGAGTTGATGATACAGACAGCTGTTTTGAACATTTCATATGTTGTGTCATGTTAACTAGCCCAGATCTTCCTGCCTGAAATTGGACAATTGCAACGAGTGACACTTTTTGCCTCCATCTTTCTTTGATTCGTGCTCCTATGCAAAATGAATCCTTCCCCTTCACCTCAGAGGGAGGTTGAAAGCATTAATGTTTTGTGAAGCATTTAGATTATACAGTGATGAGCACAGTGGAGAAGCTCAGGAGGGTACCAGTAATTATTTATTCACTGATGGTTTAAATACAAGGGAAGGAAGGCCTATGGGCATTACTCTGGGCACAGAGAAGAAAATTACCAGAGTGCCTCTCACTGAAGGCTACCGTATACTTCTGGTATGTTTAATTTTGTGGGTTCAATGCTCTTTTACATCCATTTTTGTAAAAGTACTGCATGTGTTAAGAAAGTGTCTCCAGGGCCTCACTGGTCTTTGCATTGGCTAAAAAAAGAGGCTGAAATATTACATCCTGTGCTTCACACAGCTTTTCAGCATTGGATCCTCTATATGAGCCGTGTGGGATGCTGAGGATGAAATCAGGTGGTATCTGTTTGTACAAAGCCAAGCACAGAAGGGCTCTGTTTTTTGACATGGATACTACTGTAGTTTGAAAAATAAATACTAGCAGTTTAGTACAATCCAGAGGGAGCTGGATTGGTGCTTGGCGGGTGCTTTGCCATTGTCAGCTGGCAGTGTGGTGCTGTATCCTGACTACTGGCTGAGTACTTGAAAAGGAGATGACACTCCTGCTGACAGCTAATAGTGGATCTCCTTTAGCACACCAGGTAGAGCTTCTACTTTGTGCATTTGAAAACACCTGGTTCAGGTCTCAGCTGGGAGAGATTATGCAGAAGGGAGATGTGTGAAATACCATCAAATGAGGATAATCCTTCATTTGACATTTACTCATTTGGTTACCTGCCTCAGTCCTGCAGTGCAGCACCCCTGCTATTAATCCTTTGTCAAGACATACTTAATGTTATGTCTGCTCCCTGTGACAATTATTAGACTTTGCACTTCAGTAGCACTTCTTTTTGAGAGACAGCATGGTTTAGAGTGAGTAGAGAGGGCGTAATCACTTCCCATGGTATTAAGAGTACTGATTCAAAACCTTTACAAAAGATTAACTGGTCTTTAATAAACATGGGGGGCTGGGACTTCATGTTCTATCAGATTTGAAACTTAGAACCTCTAGTCCCTTGAAATTTAGTCCCTTGGCAATGCTGTGATACCAAAACTACAAAGTCAGTTTTCAGAAAATGATCTGAATTTCCTGTCAGACTCAAGGTGTTCAAGTCAGTAGTTCCACCTCTACAAGAGACTTTCTTTTGGTCTAGGCAGATATAACTGTGAATATAACTTAGCCACCTCATAACCCGTGAAAATTCAGTTTCATGTGAGCACAAGAGCCCTTTGGGATCTCCTTGAAGGTTTGAAAGAAACTGAGAAAGCTCAGTAGCACTTTCTTTTTCCTCATGCACTGCCCTGCTTCCCTGATAGTATCAGAAAAATTAACATGGTGTGGATAATTA